TTGATCTCATCAGCAGCACGATGTCTTTTGGTTGATCCAATTTCTTCTAGGGGAGTGTACCTCCTATCTATTAAAGAATCAACGCCGAACTAAAACACTGCTCGCAAGATCAAGATCACCCTTCAGCGCAGTGATAAAAAATCATTTCATGTCAGGCGATAGGATCTTTTGACATTCCAGTAATTAAAAATCGATTGCTCATGGCTGAAAAATCAAATAACATTTTTTCTCTCGGCTGTTTTTTAGACATCGCTCGAAGTCAATACATCTTGAAAGCATATTTTATTATATAACAGACCTTATAGAAGAATTAAAATATGCTGTCAGTATACATCAATTTTGGGAGAAGTCTAAAAAACACTCGAATGTACAGGTAAGGAGATCGTCGTTCAAATACTTGGTGTACAATCCAAAAAGCGGTTGCCCAAGTGATCCGAAAAAGTTTCAAAGAGCGACAGTCACCGCATTCATGGGCAACTGAAGTGTCCATGCAGTATGGAACCTCTCAGCAATAGAGTCGCAAGCGGTCTCGGTTCCTATTCTACTGGTTTGCTTAAAAGAAAGCAAAGAACATAATATTTTTTCTACTACATCCTATGACACAGGCGACTGGGATTTCGAGCGCAGCTGCATTCACGTGGCTAGACAGAATTCAAGCGCCTGTGGCGCACTGGTGGGAGTTGCTCTGCAACAGACGCGTGTTTAATCAGTCGATGGTCGAGAGTTCGATTCTACGTTCAAGGCTCACAAAGTCTTTCATCCCACTGTGGTTGGTTAATTAGTACCAAACTTGTTTGAAAGTATAGCGGCACTGCCTTGATAAGCCACCGAGAGTCATGGCAGAAGCCATATATGCAGCGGTAACCATGTTAGGAAGCCATGTGAGCCTTAAGCGCAGTAGTGGTGATGCTTATCATCTCTAACACCCTTCTGAATCAAACCAGCCTAGCCTTTAATCAACTCAACGTACATATATCGGGTACCAGTTCATCTGAGAGCAATACACCTTCTTCGATCTAGTGAAAACGCTTTAACCCAGTAGCCCAGCATTCCAGTGAAAATCAGTTCGTTCCGCATTCAACATATTTAAGATGAGAAAAAAAAACGTTCAAGTAACAGCTGAAGCCACCACCAATAATTCGAAGACTTGCGTGAGTAAATGGAGGTGCGAATACGAAGCGAATACAAAAGTTGTTGTAATTCGCGTGATATTGCAAGATGGGTCTTATAAGCTAAATGCGTCAAAATCATGGAATACTGTGGCTAAGCGTCTAGTGTTGTCTTGAAATCCAGTCCTGAAAACTACATTCATTAAACCTATACAGCTCGCCATCAACAGTTTCATTTGCAATTTTGGAGGTATTCAATTCAAAAAGCTTCAATGAACCAGCAATTACTTCGAACTCTTTTTGTAATTGCAACTTTTTAAGTCATTATTCAGGTGCAATTTGGGCTACAAATACTTCTCTATATGCTTTGATTGAAGCGTTTCTAATAGTTGTGTTCTTTAAACTACATACTTCTTCTTATTTAACTCCCCACTAATCCACTGAATATGTGTGAAGTAAGATTTTTGGTTTGCTTGTATAGTTTCGCTTTTTTATATTTTCTATTTTCTATACGCTTTTTTATATTTATATTTTATATTAATATTTTTGCCTGTTTTAACATTCTTTTTTCAAAGCTGGACTTACAGAAAAACTGACTGCTTTTTAAGCATTCTGTATATACAATAGGCTTAAGTAGAATGTAAGACTTTGGACTTTAAGCGGAAATCAGACACGCGTTTTACCCTCTCCGCTGGCGTATTCTTCATAACATTGAACATTACTGAGCATATAGCTATGACTTTGTGTCACTGTTCAAAAAAGGTTCCAATAAAAAATTTTTGCCAATTCCAGATATCGCTTACGTCTTTTCATAACATTGTTCTCTAATCATTTGAAATAGAAAAGAATGAGTCTGGCTCTCCACGAGTTTTCCCTTGCGAAATCGGAGAACAACCGCAACCAGTTCTTCTCAACGCACTGGCTCGCTTCTTCACGCATTTCCTCACAGATCACAAGGTTCCTGCTAATGGAAAATTAGCGAGACCGTGTTGCTGATCAAATAAGTAGACTTTCCGATATCGGCAATTGCTGCCCAATCTGCTAGCTGTCCGTCGTCTAAAAACTTTTCACTCGTGTCATAATGAACGTGGTTGACAAAACACTTGACGAAGGAGAACCATGCGAACAAACTACAGGCTGTGGATAGCCAAGGCAACCCCACTAAGTGCACAGGGATTTTTATCAAACTGTATAAAGATCTCACAACAAAAGATCACTAGAGTATGAAAAACCAAGCTGTTTTAGGTGGAATGAGGTCCGTAGTTGTGGCGACGTTATTGTCGCTGTTGATAATGAGTTGAGATTGTAGTGCGAGTAGTTGGTTCATAGTTCGGCAACACTGCCTTCTTACAGCCTGGACGTACAGCTTTTCGGCAGGCTCAGAAGAAGGCGGCAACTTTGAGATATGAGCCAACTACTCCTACTGTGATCTAAACCCAACATCAATAACGACATCCACATCGTCACAACTAGGAACCTCGCGCTAGCTAAAACACTCGAATTTTTACAGTTGAATATTAACTTCATTGACGAGGTTTTAAGAAAGTAGATCTCTCGAACTATTGAATTATTACCATTTCATAGCGATATGGCTACCGAGGCGGGAGGAGGAGTTTGACATAGAGATACGTGAACGCCGAGATTATTCACTGTCGTCCTTCAAAATGTCATGCGTATATCAATTTGAAATAATCTGGCAAAAAGAAGCGAAGGTCGACAATTACTCCCATGTAAAGCGGCGGTGTTCTTTCCTTTGGAAAAGTAAATTTCCGTGGAAGAGACGTGCTGCAAGCAGGAATCCAGCGAGACGGTTTCTATTTTCGTTTCTTTCTCCTAATCCAAATTTTCCAATCCCGTATTCGCTCTCATTAGCCATTCCTAATCTGACATTGAAGTCTCTGACGACGAAATTGTAATATGCCTTATCATTACAGATAACTTATTTCAACTGTTGGTAAAAAACGTCCAATTCATGTTCATTAGCTGCGACTGTTGGTGAATAACAGTTGGTGACAGTGATTTTAGTATTACGCTTCAATTCGAGTCTAGGAATAGTTAGGTGAGGAAGAAGGATTTCGTATGAGTTGACGAGATGGGTGATGGACGTGTGATCAACATAGCGCACGCCTCCGACATTTTGTGATGACCCCTTTTCTCTGCGAATTACGAGCGCGCCGTTGTTCAAGTGACGTATGTCGGTTTTCCTCGTTCTCGTTTCTTGTGCCTTCAATTACACAATATTTCATGCGATTTGCTGCTCCAGGAGATGCTTGAAGATCGGATTAGTGAAGAGTGTTCTGGCATTATACGTACAGAGTAGAAAACAATCTCCATACCGTGTCGACTGCGTATTCAATAGATCCGGTTCCCCGAGTATCCTCGTAACCTTCGTATCTCGTGGTTTAGTAGTCTTTCACCGGTTGTCTCGCTGCCTGAAGCCATACACGGAGACACCAAGTGTACGGGGTACTGAGACTGACCTTATTGCTGGTTGTGCAGATTGATATTCCTTGGATTTCTGACTTAACCTTACAAGAGCGTTTTCAAGTCCACATATCTTTATGTTGTCGTTTCCAAGCAATTTGTTGGGCAACCGGTCCTAGCAGCCGGGCTTACATTCAGTTAATTCGGAGATGATATTAAAACCAAATCAATAGACAGAGCAGGAGTGAATGAGTAAAGGTGACCGACCGATCAAAGATGTTCCATAGCCAAAAAGACTCTTCCAGATTTTCCAGTCGTTTTCAAGGTGTATCTTTTCTTCGGTATTACATAGTATAATTTTGCTTTCTAGCAAACTGTGTTGTTAACAATCAAATTTATTATTGGTTTAACTCTTACAAATGTATTTCACTGAGAATAAAGCTCAACTGCCATGAAAATTATTACTTAACTACAATTCTAGAGCATACAATCGCACCTCAAAGAATACGCTCTTGAATCCTTGGTTTCTTCTATAAAAGTACTACTTCACTTGATTAATGTCAGTTATTCACTAGCTTAGGAAGATTCTAATGCCATACCTTGGGTTCCAAAAAAGACATTTTCTGCCTGCGTTACTAGCGAAAAAAATGACATTTTGCTCGCACTAGTCACCCAGCCTTTTGAATTTTACGGCCGACTTATCAACACTTTTGTAGTAGAATCTTGATCTTAAGAAAACTTCACAGCTACGAAAAGGGTGGAAGATTGCTATAAGAGGAACTACCCTGAACGTAGTTTGAGTAGAAAGAACACTCATCTGTCATAGAAATCTTTTTTTAGTATGAAAACCACATTATTGACCAAGCCCTTTCGCAAATGTTTTGATAAAATGAATGTTTCTAAGTCATAATTCAAATGACGGCGATATTATCAAGATGTTATCAATATATTCATTCAACTTATCATCAACTTTTAGCGTCAATACGATTTGTACATCTGCACATTGTACATACAATAACCACCTTGTACTTCCCAACAGATTCAGATGTTTTAATACAATAAAGCCACCTCTTGTAAATCATTACAGTCTATAATGTAGAATAATGCGCAATACAAGATTCATACCTAAACATACAGTCCTCAAGAGATTATCATTATTCACCAGTTTAGAAGTAAAGATAATGGCAGCCGACTACTATCGTTCAGCCGGTAGGATTCTCTCAGCACTCAACCTTTGAGGGAACACTTGTACAAAATGCGATACATGCCTGACTAAAGGCCTCTCCCGCTGAATAAAGGTTTTCTCTCGGACTTTTGGTAATCTTTCGAGACTCAAATCTCTGCAATTTTAGTAATATGTTTAATTTTGAAAAAGATTTCCCATGTCTTCATGAGAACAAATTCTGAAAGGCCACTGACGAATTGGAAAAACAAGGATATAGCGTAGAAAGAGTAGTGTGCAAAACGGCCGTCGGTAGTGCAACGGTTCAGCACGAGCTCCCAGAAAGAGTGAGCTCTGGGTTTGATACCCAGCTGAAGCAAAAGTTTTTGCACACCACTCTACATTATTGTGTATATTGTAAAACATATCACCGCAAGTGGTGGTGAAATTAAATGATTTCTAAAATCTGAAGCTTTTGATGTTGGTCGATCTCTGAGAGCTTTCTCGATAGCGCTCCAGATCTTTGCAGTTCGGGCACCGGATGCGTTGGCGATTTTTTGGCCACATAATGACCAGGCCGGACCAAAAACACTGCCAGAATGGATCATCTCACCCTTATAAGACCATTTTACTCGGAAAGAATTATAGGATAAAACGTCATAGTTAATTAGCTTTAACACTCTGATCCATATATTCGCCAGCCTTAGCTTCGTCCGTATCTTCGATTATGACAACCTGGAAATTCAAATTTGAATTAGTTCAGAATATAATCGACCACTGTACCTAAAATATAAGTATTGAAGGGAGTTTGATAGCAGAACAGAATCTCCGATAGTGGAGTGGTTAGCACGCATAAGTGGAAGGGTGAGACACGGGCTTACCTCTCGCGCGGAGTACTCAAACTCTTGCATATTACTGAACATTAATCTGTGTAGATTTTTACTAAGATTTTTAGTACAAAATCGGGCGACTTTGTTGTAATTCACTGCGTATTTTCTTACGAAGATTTTGGTGTATAGGTTGTCTTTACCTGCTTTGAGATGAAGCCGTCCTCAAATCGCTTGCAACTACTTATGCACAAATAGCGTGTAGTGGCACGATGCCAGTAAAGAGGCGACAAGATCAGTGGAGCTTCCTGTGGACGGTCCAAGCGCGATCGATTCTCCAAACTGCCTTTGAACTTCGCAAACCACTTTTTGGCCGTCCTTTCTGCTACCGTATCATCGCTCCAAACTCCATTAATCTTGAGCACCGCTTCGCTAATATTTTCCTCTACGAGCCATTCGTGCATGAGTAGCGAGCAAATTTGCTCTCAACACAGCTCCATCTTAACCGTTTGGAAACCGCATGGATCATATTGGTCCTTAGCGCATTCGTGCGCTAGAGCTTTCTACGGCGCACGCATATTCAATCAACAACTTGAAAACTGGAAAGTTTAGTACTGGCCCGAACTAGTGAGAAGACCTTCACACTATGTTCTGCCAGTTAAAAAAAAAACTATTGCTAAAGCGCGCATGGGGAACAATAGAAGTTTTCTGCGCAGCACACAATATCAATGGTTCGTTCTCGCACTCGTTGCTCACAAAGATTTTCATCCCCCTAGCCTGCAAATCTGTGTCAGACTTGTCTGCAAGCTTATGCAGCGCTGGGCTCGATAGATTGGGAAGCCACTGCGAGTCATTGTAATTGCCAGATATACATTCAAAGACTTCGAAGGTACTTTAAATTTGAGGACGAATGATTAACGCGTCTTTCAGTCACTGATCAACGCCGAGAACTTTCTATAATTTTTAAACGTAATTTTATTGCAAAAATGCAGATGTGTCTTAGAAAATCCTACATTCCAGTGCGACAGCTACATCCTTGGGATAGCAGACTCCCTCTTTAAGAGATCCCGCCTAGTTAGTCGCAAGGGCTTGTGGCGCGTCCACAGGTGGCGGATGGGGATAAGCGAGGAGTAAAAGCAACCGTGTGCTTTCCAGAGGAGCAGGTAGATTCATGGGACGAGCTCCCTGCCTTTGTAGCGGTGATTTCCACGAGTCAAATAGGCCAAAACACTGCATTCAAGCTGCTGGGAAGTAGATGGAATTTTGTTAAGAAGGCTTCCAACAAATAAGCTTTTTTCCGCTCCTCAGTGAAAGACTGATATGCAACCCGTGAGATTCCATCCCCTAGGTTCAGAGGCTAGCGAGCTATACGCTGGGTTTCAAAATGCTGAAAACAGCAATAAATATGGGCGTCATTCCCCTGATACCGAAAAAGCCCCCAGTAGTGCAGCATTGTATAGGACGAGCACGGAGAGGCTGCTAAAATCTCAGGGTCAAACTAGGCTATCAAAATCGAAACGGACTAAAATGAGGATCTGTACCTACAATGCACGAACACTAGCACACGAATCCGCTGTAGAAGATCTGCTGATTCAAGCAAGAAGGAGAAGGTGTGACGCCATTGGCCTGGCTGAGACGAGGAGACGCCATTTTTTTCACGCTGTTTATGACACAGGAGAAGGACTGTTCCTTGGAACATGCGATAGCAGAGGTTGTCGGCGGCGTTCCCGTCCTCTAAAATCGAACTTAGCCGCGAACTTCTATTAGTTTGAATAACTAACAATTCGTATCGGACGATTACGGTTGGAACGATCCGATTCTATGTCGACTTTGACCATCTTCGTTGCTTACGCACCAACATCAAGCTACGTGAAGACAAAGTCGAAGCGTTCTATGTGGACCTCGAAAATTTCTTCAGAGGAGACCATACCTTCTTCAAGGTTAATTGAACATAGGAGGAAGTCTGAAGATCGTCACATTGCAACTCACGGACTAGAACGGAATGAACAGGGTGAAAGGCTATTTAGATTCATCACGACGATCCCAAACCATCCATGGTAACTCACAAATCCAAAATTCTCACTCTCAACGATGGGCGTGGGAGTCCCCCAATGGAGAGTACCATAATGAAATAGGCCACTTCACAATAAATCGAAGGTTTGCCCTGGCCGATATTGCGATTGTTCCTAATTTCTACCCGGGATCAGACCATCCTCTTTCGCGCAACATTCCGTTTTTCGAGAAGAGGAGAGAAAGCCACTAAATTCAAACAACGAAGTCCCAGAACTACCATAAACTGGGATGTATTCAAATCACTAGTCGGCTCTTGGGGCGATACCGTTGTCGACAACATCCGCGAAGAATACGATCGGCTTGTTGAACATAATCACGTTAGAGCTATAAAAACCGAGAGTTCTAAGGTCACGAAGAGCAGCTTGCCTCAGCATGCACTCGAGCTGATACGTCAATGTGAAATCGCACGAGCTACAGGCAACCGAAACCTAACGTCCAAACTTGCGGAACGCTGCAGAGAAGCGATAAAAGAAGACCTCAAAGAAAGACGAGTAGCAGTTACGGCAGAAGCTGCAGAAGCTGGAAAGAGCATTCGCAAAGCCCAGCGAAGCTTCGCCAATCATAAGACCAAGAAGATTGCACTCCAGTGCCCTGACGGGAAAGTCACAGCTTCCAGAATGGCTATGGAGAAAATCATCCACTAACACTACTCGCCTCTCTTCGCTAGCCATGCCCTCTTACCGTCATAAAGATTGAAAGAGGGTAAACATGTCGTTTCACTGGTCCTCCCTTCCGAAATCCGACATGCTATATCGTTAGTGAAGAAAAGCACAACACCCGGTTCAGGCAGGATTAGACCAGAGCACCTGAAGAACCTGCCGCCAGTTCTCATCAACACTCTGACTTAGCTCTTCAGTCGCTATCTGCCAGAATGCAAAGTTCCCATTCAATGGAAAACCAGCAAGACCGTACTGTTGTTCAACAAGGGAGACCATCGAATAGGAATTTATCGCCAAAGCTGCTTGCTGTCCGTCGTTTATAAACTCTCTGCTCGAGTCATCCTCAGCTGGATTGGTAGAACACTGGATAAAGGACCGCCATGCGAACAAGCAGGGTTTCAAAAAGGATTTAGCACCACATCCACACTATTACAAGACCCATTGAAGTTTCACGAGAGCACGAAAAACCACTTTGTCTCACTTTCATCGATCTGAAGAAATCTTTGATTCAGTGGAAACAAAAGCGGTTATAGTGGCTATGGATAACCAGGGCGTCCCTACTCAGTACATAATGATCCTTCGTGAGCTTTATAAAGATTTTACAACCAAAATATGCCCAATCTACAACGATATTACTGTCGGCGTATGAAGAGGGGTTCGACAAGACAATACAATTCCGCCAAAACTTTTCACTGCCACAATGCAAAACGTCATTCGAACATTAGAATGGGACGATATGGGAATGGAAATTAACGGTCGATAATTAAACCACTTTGCTGATGATATCATCCTCATAACACGAAACATCAGCCAAGCGGAACAAACGTTGACCGAATTCGATAACGCCTGTGGAAGGATTGGTCTCCAACTAAATTTAACAGAACGGTGTTCATGAGGAACGGATGGGCTTCTAATGCCCCATTCACGCTCAACGGAACGGCAATATCCGAATGCTCCATTTACGTCTATCTAGGTCGTGAAATCAACATGATGAACGACTAAGCTCCAGAGTTGAGCAGGATGAAACGAGCGACTTGGGGAACGTTTAAGAGCATCGAAGATGTAGTGAAGAAGACAAAGAACATCCGACTCCGTACCCACCTTTTCGACTCCACGATTATCCTCGCACTAACATATGCAGCAGAAACATGGTCGATACGTAGGCAGGACGAAGGATCACTTGATGTTATCGAACGCGCAACTGAAAGATCGATGCTACGAGTATCCCGTATCTCGCAAATGAGAGAAAGGATCCGAAGCTACGATCTACGCCAACGATCGAAAATCAGAGACGCCGTTCTACACATCAAGATATCAAAAATAAGGTGAACCGGACAGGTGATGCGCTTCAAAGACAACCGATTGACGAGAGCCGTTACTGACTGGGTTCCTCGGGATTTCAAGAGCTCTACAGAAAGTCCATCGACCAGTTGGTCCTATTTCTTCACAAAAGCTATAGAAGAAAGATATGATACTCAGCGAGTTTCTAGAGCAAAAAGGGCCCACTGGGGTGCGCTTGCACGCGATAGGGAAAAATGGAAGAGTTGTTGGTACCCGTTCAAGTCACTCGATGATCAACGGGATGACAGGAGATGCAGGTGATGATGTCATAGCCATTTACGGGTCATACATTTAGTTGCTTGCAGCAGCGCTGTGCATGGATGTTTTCTTGAACGTCAGACATACGCTAAAAGTGAAAATAATACGCCCAAAAGTAACATATAAATATGGAACATTTAGTTTTGAAACTATTTAATATGACACACTATCACATTTTATTGCCGGATCCTAGTATTTCAAGTATTTGATTCTTTCCACGC